TTATTCTTCGCTGCCTTGTTGAAATCACTTGACAAGTTCTTTGGCTTTACATCCTCCTCCTGGTCTTGTTCCTCTTCTGATACTTCGGGAAGATCTTCAAAAGACGAGAACTCCTCCTCACTGTCTAATGGGTTAGACTCATCGGAGGCCTGTTTGGCCTTTTTCTTTGGGGCTTTAGCCTTGGCCTTAGCATTGTTCTTCATCTTTTCATTTTTTCTTCTTTGCGGCAAGAGCATCGGTCTCATCTTGAAACTTGCCAAGAGCACGGGCGACCCCAATTTTTGGCGGTTTTGGATCGTCTTTCTTTTTTGACTCACTGGCACGTGAATCCGGCTGATGTTCATCAGGTTTTGACTTTTCCTTTTGTTCTTTAGCTGGCCTTCCCCTTTTGACATGCAAAGAGTCCTCAAGCTCCTTGGACAAATTGTCCACTTCTCTTGGGGTTAGGACAGGGTCTGTCTTTTCATTGCTGATGGCTGACGTCAATGGCAAACTCTTGTGGCTCTCCTTCAGCTCTTTGACTTCCTCAGTGTTTGTCTTCTCCTCCCTGTCTTCCTTCTCCTGCTTGTCTTCATTCTTCTGCTTGTCTTCCTTCTCCGGCTTGTCTTCCTTCTCCTCCTTGTCTTCCTTCTGCAGCTTGTCTTTCTTCTCCTGCTTGTCTTCCTTCTCCGGCTTGTCTTTCTTCTCCGGCGTGTCTTCCTTCTCCTCCTTCTCCGGCGTGCCCTCCTCGCTGTCCTCCAACTCTTCTTCTTTCACCAGCTCCCTTCTCGTGAGATCGCTCCCAGCTCTCACCATCCCAGGCGCTGGCAATGGAGTCGTCGAAGGCGGTGATGACGAGGCTTTGACCTGGGAAACGCTGTAACTGTAACTCTTCAAGACATGATTCAGCCCAAAACACGAAGATGAATTGACACGAAGAGTAGAGTAAGCCCAAAACACGAGGAGGAGGAGTATGTTGCATTTCCATCTCCTCTGGTCCAGGTCTGACTCTGTCAATATCCTGCGCAGTTGTTTTTTGATAACTCGTGAATGTAAAAGCCACTTTCATCGGGTTTGTGATTCACTACACAACTTGACAATAATTGCGTTGCAACGTGTCCTGGGAAAAGCCATGTTCAGCAAGAAGTTGGTTGAGAACCACCATTGCAGCACTGCAGAAATTCTCAACCGGGCCACAGGCTGAGAATGCGTAACAGTAACAGGCCACTATCTTGATCCTAAACCAACAAGGTTATGGAACAATCCATATAATATGCAATCGGGTTCATAGGCACTGGACTCTCCCTGATACAATAATTCAAGTCTAAGTTCAAAAGGATCTGAGCTCGCCTGATTTGCTTTCCCTCTTCATAGCAGCGACTTTGGCAGCTGACTGCCACTTGGACGACGAATGACCCAATTGGAACTCGTTGATCGGGATTTCCAGCGTGGTGTGTGCTGCCTCAAAATTGCCACAAACACTTTGGATTTCTATTGGGGCGGGTTGCAGTGGGCTATCAAACAACTTTAGGTTCTCGTGCACTCTTGGGCATGCACCATGAAAAGCTTGAAGCGCTGGCCCTCAACAATCTCACGGGCATCCCCATTCCTTGCTTCTGCCTGGACTAGGTAGAGTGTCGTCCCAGGAGTGCGGCCTGCGTATTTGTTTTCAATCTGGTACATATCTGTCAGCTCCTGAATCGAAGTTGGCTCTTGCCAGGGCGGGAGATTGCTCTCTGTCTCTGGCAAAGACTCAGGCGCGGCAGACACAGAAAGACTGTCAGGAACCAGGTTGCCTTCAAACCTTAGCTGTTTCTCAGTGATGCCAATACAGAAGCATAGATCCGACAAGTTTTTGGGAATGCTATAGTTGGTTGTCTAGTTTCAACTTACTTAGTTTCGATGTATATATTGTATACTTAACATACACTGGGAGCTGAGGAAAAGAATAACCATTTGTATGAGATAAGGGGCCGTTTGTCGAAGTCTGAAATCAGCTCCCTCCAATTTGGTCCGTACAGCACATCGCTGTAATGTAGCATGCGAAAACTCTGAGGCAGGGAAATCTTGTACTTTGCCCAACCAGACTTTCCCGGAAGCGTTTCGATCTTGGCGACCTGCAATGGATACTTCTTTAAGTTCACTTCCTCCAAAGATGGGCACTCTGGCTGGTACTTCGGCACTTTGGATCCCATCATATGGTTTCCGCGTTTCCATTCCTCCAGGTAAGTGTGAACATGTGGGACAGGACAGTTGAACTTGTTGGAAACTTCTAACACGTTCAAAACTTTCTTTGCATTTTCAACCAGATGTCAAATGTCCTCCATAAGCTTCAATGCAATTGATCGCTGACAGTACTCGATGATGTGCAAGGACTTGCTCAGTGAAAGACTCGGAATGCGGACCCCTGGGTGGCTTTTGGGCCAGTAGTGGGCGGTCCATTCCAACCATGCATCGTAAGGGCTTAGGTTGATCAGCCCAAGCACTGCTTCAGCAGGAATGTCGACTTTTGCCAGCAGGCTGGACAAAATCTGCTCCGGGACCTCGCTGCTAGCCAGGTACTGAGCGCTTTCCTGGAAAGCCGACATGGACCTGCCAGGAGATTCCGGGGCATTCCGGGGTGCAAGCGGTTTGATTTAAAGAAGCATTGACTGACCAATGACTACAGCCCTAGTATAGCTGATTACTTTGTTCAAAGAAACACAAGTTTCTGGGCCTGGTGTCAGCAGATGATGGAACCATGTCCTTGCTAGCTGCCGGCACAATGTAAGAACTCTCTGGGAGCCAGCTGATGTTCGTGCGAGTGCACCTGTCAGGGCCAGTGTTTCCTGGATTATGGTAAGTTTGCCAGCACATGTTGCATATCTTTCCTCCTAATCTAAGAAATTTGGCTTTGTATTGAATCAAACCACCACACCTGTCCGCCAAAAGCTGAGAAGAGGCAAAGATATTGTCTGCAACAGTACCTTCTTGCATACAGATCCATGCAGCAAATTGTAGAGGGACATGCTTCTGACTTGGGGCTTCTTTCATCCGGATCATGATAAGCTCTGACTGGATCTTCACAGCATCAAGTTTATCTTCCACTCGCCTAGTCAGGGAAGTGAGACATTGAACCAGTGAAGAATACCTGCGTATCAAAACGAGAAAAGATAAACATGGGGGGTTGGGATATGTTTATACCTACTTGTTGTTCTTTGTAGTTTGAAGAAACCCTGGCCTGATCTCTCCACGTACACCATTCTGGGTGCGCTCTGAAACGAGAAAAGGACTGATAACGACTGCCACACTGTGTTGTGGTTTCCGGGAAAGAATGGATGATAGGAGGTCGCAGGTGTCATTCAGATCACATCCGCTCAATTTCCCATATTTGGTAAAGTCGAGCCACACAATGTTGGCAGCCCACTCGTTGTGCTCGGCCAAATCGTTGATGAACTGCGGCACTTGACCAAAAACATATGGAACCCAAGTCTCAAGTGTACCATGCCTAGGAGTAAGAACTTGAAACAGCAAATCCAATGAAAGGGGTGTTATCATTTAAGGATTTTTGATAACTTCTAGCCTTTTCAGCTGCCGCTTCTTGTTCGTTGTTTCTGCCCCCAACAAGACGGATGTTCAGGTCCATGAATTTTGAGATGGTGGTGGCCCCCACACGGTTTTGATGCTTGAGATGCAACACGCGCTGGAGGCGATTGCTGCGGCTGTTCTTCGTCTCCTCCTGGTACAAGCACCCCAACTGCGCTACGTCCCGGGTCAATTTCAAGCAGTCTTGGTCAAAGCTCATCTTGTGAGAATCTTTGGTCAGCACATCCAGCTTCTCATCCACGGTCGCAAATTGTTGGGAGGCAGGCTGAGCTTTGACATGATCTCTCCTCACTTGTGTGCTCTAAAATCTTTGAGGGTTCTAGACTCTAGACCAGTCTTGATTGATTTCACTTGTTTGGGGACTCGTTCACTCCAACATGAACATGATGATCATGAAAAAAGGTGCAACAATAAAAAGCCAAAAAAGACCTCCAAACAATGTGTTTATTAGGAGGGTTTGTTGGCTCACGCAGTA